TCCGCCTACCTCTGCCTCCCGAGTGCTGGGATTAAAGGTGTGCGCCACCACCGCCTGGCTTTGTCATTGGTTTTTGTTGAACTCAATTTGGACCATGGGATCAAATGGTCTTAAAAAACTTTCTTGGTCATTGAGACTTTAGTCAAGAACGCAGGAACTTCTTGGCACCCTCACAGCCCAGATGGAAAGGGTGAGGTAGGCCTTGTTGAGAGATGCCCCGTGTCTGAAGGCACCCTCAGTGCTAGACTGTCGTCAGTCACAACTGTGGGTCCATTCACAATGATTGATCTGTGGCATCAGGACCCATAGCTTCATGGATGCTGACAGTCTGTGAGGAACATTCAACACTTTCAAAGCTCAACTACCTGCTGAGCCAGGATGGCCCTGTCTGCAGATTAGACTGAGATCCTGGCCCCGCTGAAGGGAAGTCCTGAGGTATGGACGTGAGGGCTGATGGGGGGTGAGCCATACCTGCTCATAAACGGGGGATCTGCTTTCCTGACTGGACCACCGAGTCTTGAGCTTTTTGTTTTAAAAAATGAAAGTATTGGCTTGGTAAGGGTGGCTTACCAAGTAAAGACACTTGCCCGGCGATGGGAATTCGATCCACAGAACCCATATAAAAGTGGAAGGAAAGAATAAACTTCACAAAGTTATCCTCTGAGCATGGAGTTTGGCCCATGGCCCTTTCCACTTCATTTATACACACATGTCAATGAGAATATGGATATCCTCTCCATGAGATTTATTTTTTAAGGAAATAACTAGGCACATTGATTAGTGCCTGATAAGTGTTAGCCTGTCTTCCTGCCATCTTGGAAACCCCACTGAATATCTCCAAGTCTGGTTGTCATTGTGCGTATCTCATCTTCTCATAAGTAATTCTTGGTAAGTGGTCGCTCGGCAGAGCCCGCACAGCCTTTCCAAACCTTCGCACTGACACCGGCACTTTCCGCTCCACGTCCCCTGTCAAGGCTCTAGACCATCAGCCCAGCCTCTCTGCCTTTGTATTTCTGGCCGTCACCCCAACCCTTCTTTCCCTGAGTAAATTTTGTTAATACAAGAATTAGCTTTTTCTCTAACTTCCAAAACTTACAAATTTATACAAATTATTCAAATATATCCACTACTTTTAAAACTTCCCAAACTTCCCATGGAAAGTTCTTTGTATCAAAGGAAAAGGCTTTCTGCAGGCAAACCACGTGACAGTGCCTGTATATTTATATCCCGTCATTCTCTCCAAAAGCTTCAAGGAAAAACAGCCCGTCTTTCCCTTGGTTCTGTTTTATAAAGGACTGTGTCTCAGGAAAAGACTCTTAGTCCTGGTCCCCGCCAGGCCCCTTTGCTCAGCAAAAGGCCCATCTCTGAAAGTGTGTGCAACAGCAAGGCTGCTGGCTCTCCCGTGAACAGTGACCAGGGAGGCCAAGGTTCATCTTCAGAGAGAGCCAAATCCTGCAGATGACAGAGAAGTCAGCGCAGTAATATATTCCAGAAAGCCTAAGGGTTTACTTCTCAATAAGGATGGGAAAGAAAACCCGAGCACCCCACTGTGGGCTTATCGTAGTGTGCTTCATAGGAAAAGTTGGTAATTAGTCCCTGAGTGCATAAAGCGGAACAGAGAAGCGATGGATACCTGAGGGAATCTCCGAATGCTCTGGCCAGTCATCACACGTTAAAGGCTGTAAGAAGGGGTTGGGGTGCCTCCACCCGTCTGCATACACTCTCCAACACTGAATCTGTAATCAACAACGAGTGGATTTTAGATTGTCTGAGAATGAAGGTTAGGGAAATTCCAAGGAGTGCAGAGTGTGGAACGCTCCAGAGCTGGTGGGAGTTCTGGTGGGCGTCACTCTTCCTCCAGCTGGGGCTGCTGGAATCCAGATGTGTCACAACTGGATACTGAGGGCACTGCTGCCTGTCTCAGTACTTGCTGATTTAAATTGCACTTTTAAATGTTCATGAATTCAGTGGTCATTGGAGGGGTGCACTCGAGTTTTTGAATCCTTTCCTAAAGAGGAAAAATATATACAAACCATATCAGAAAATTCCAGGTCTCCTGGGAGGAGGTATTTTCACCGATATTTTGGTATTTACCCTCTCTTGTGTTTAGGTCCTTGTGAGCTCTTCTCTATGGACCATTTTAGATTGGGTGGAAAAACCAAGGTTTATCTGTCAGTCCCAGAGATTCAATAGACACAGGAGGAGCTGCAATTCCCATGGGACTGCAGGCATGAATTCAACCAGGGAACGGAAACTCTCATTGGGAAAGCACGTAGAGCAAGTCTTGCTATGTGGACCGCAAACGTAACCACAGTGTGATTGACTCGTGAATATTATGACCTTTAAAATACTTTACTGAAGTTTTTTTTAAAGAAAAATCTATTGTATATATAAAATTTTTCCAAAAAATTAGTTTCTAGTTGAAAAGGAATGCAAACTAGCCATTCCACATGGTCATGGAAAAGGTCATTCCACAATTATCGTGAAAGTGCACCAGCAATTAGTGTATTTTCCGAGGCTCCCTTGACCAATGCTTGGTCCTCTCCCCAGCAGCTTGTAGTCTCTGGAGAGAGATGGACAGTTTATCAGACAGAGGCAGCTTAGAGGCAGACAAGAGCACAACGATCCAGCCACTGCTTGCCAGCAAACGGGAGCCAGCTCATCAGCATTGCCTTCGTTTTCCCTCTCTCTCCCTCTCGGGTTCTGGCTGTGTGCTCCAGGCTGGCATGGAATTCAGGCCTCCTGCTACTGCTGCTTCTGTGCTGAGATTACACGTGTGTGCCACCATGCCTGCCTTTTAGTTTAAGTATAAGGATCTCTGCCCCCTGCATAGACAGAAGTCTTTGGCACAATTAATAGCATACATTTTATTACAGTTAATGCTAAAATCATTGAAGTAGCTTACGGAGATAATTTAGTCATGTGTGTCCAACCCTGATAATTGGAGGGGGTGTATTTGGTCACAATTTGTGAAACCTATGTGCTTTCCTCCTATATGGAAAGCTGGAAATGTTTTGAATTTTTTGGAGAAAGTACCAATTTGGACCAGTATTCTCAGAAGTTAGCAATAAATGATAATCTGAAATTTTTCAGTGCTCAGTTTAGAATAAAATAACCTGTTTCATACTTGTTTCAAAGACAACTCCCCCCCCCCCCAAAAAAAAAAACTCCTCTTCTGTTTCACAGTGCTCAAATTCCTCCATCCTCCTGCTGGTCCCCGACAGACGGTTCTAGCCTTCCCGCCTCATGTGCATCTTTCGCCGACATGTGAATTGATGCGTAGTTCGCTTTAAATCACCCTAACGTAGCTTCACGTGGAGTTCTTTCCTACTGAAGTAGAACATGAAGGGATTTCTGATCGTTTACACTTGGTAATTTTTGAACCACAATAACTCTAGATCATAGCCATATTTTTAAATATTTCTAAGTAACTTGAACCCAATTTAAAAATATTTCACTTTAAGTTGGAAGTATTTGGTTGGCTGTAAACTGCCGTATGTGCCAGGTGCCACAAATGGTACAAAGCTTCAGTGTAGCGCGTGCCTGGTTGTCCCACTCAGGTAAGTATTTTGGTACCCCCCCCCCCCATCTCTCTCACTTTGAGCTAGGATTTGGTCACCAGCTCCATATTTTATGTATCTACTTCTTGTCGATTCCTCGCTGGTCTGAATGTGGACCAGAGACTTGGTGATAGAGAAGCTGTTAGTTGGTACAGAGTCGCTGTTCAAATATAAACACGCAGGTGCACACGTAAGGTGACCTTATTGCAGGCTCATCGAGAGACGGGTAAGAGGAACCCAGGCATAGCACAGGCTAATTTAACGACGCCTAACATATTGGTTGTGAGTTACTATGGTAACAGTGACCTTTCATCTAGCACATTTAACCTTTTACTCATTTTGCTCATACGTAGTATTTGGTTTACTTCAGAATCTTGTTTATTTTTCTCCAATTAGACACAGCCATCCTTGCCCTTTTTTTTCTGTTTATATATGTTTCTCACACAGTAAACACATGCACATCTGTATATTTTTTTCCAGCAGCTTCTATACACACTTCGTAAAAAAAAGTTATCCAGGGAACATAAATAAACTCTAGAAGTGAAATGCCAACATTCCATCTTTCCCGCGTCCATCATGTGTGTGCATTTGTATGTGGAAGGACCTCCAGGGCAGATGTTTTAAAAATGGATGATCACCCAGAGTTGGGCAGGATGAATTGCCTGTGTCCAGCTTCTTCATACCCGTGACCCAGGACCAGGAGAAGAAAATAAAATGAAAAAAGAGTCAGCCTTATGAAAGTGCATTCGGGTTAAAGGGCACCAGGCATCCTGGCTTGTAGTCTGCCTACAGGACAAGGCTCTCATTTGATAAAGATCATTAGTCACTGAGATATAGATTTGAGAGAGTTCCCAGTAGCGAATCTTCAGTTGGCAGTCACTGGAGTGTACCAGATGGTTCATTAGCATAGGCTAGACAAGTCAAAGGCTTTCAGAATCATTTAGAAAATGTCAAACAGAAACAAGAGCCCTGTCACTTTTTATTAGAATTAACTACATCACACCCTGGACACAGATTTCACCTTGGGTCAGAAAAATTAATACAGAATTATATGAATTGTGTAATATACTGGTTTAAGATAGGTCTTTCTCTAGGGACTCATTTGCTGGCAATATATTATGATCCCTCTACTTTCAGAATCCTCGAGTCTTTCCTTTTGTAAGATATGAGAAGAGTTGACCTTGCTCAAAATCCATTGGAGTCTAATTGATTTGAGGTATATGCAGAATTTCAACCAGACCAGCTTGCAAAGTTTTTTCTCTTGCGATCCCTTGCCCAGAAAGTGTGCTGAGCGGGGCTTCCTGACTGCTGGGCTGTGTAGAAAGCATACTTTACAGCAAGAGAACAAGGCAACCATGAACCGAACATGGCTTTAGTAAATGGGAATCTAAAAGGGGGAAAAAAAAAACATCATTGAAATCTTCTTCTTTTTAAATGCAGACGTCAAGAATCTCGAGAACTTCCAGCTCGTGGAAAGTGTCCAGGAACAGGTGAATGCGGCTCTGCTAGACTACACGATCTGCAACTACCCACAGCAGACGGAGAAATTCGGACAGCTACTTCTTAGGCTGCCAGAAATCCGGGCAATCAGCATGCAGGCTGAAGAGTACCTCTACTACAAGCACCTGAACGGGGATGTCCCCTACAATAACCTGCTCATCGAGATGCTGCATGCGAAAAGAGCCTAAGTCACCACTTCTGGAAGCTTGCTCTTGGAACACAGAGATTAACAGAGAGACTGGAGGGAGAAGAGGAGGAGGAAAAAGAAAGCATAATACTCTGAACTGCTCCAAGCAATGCAAATTACAAACTTGGTTTAAAGACACTGAGATTTAAAAAGCTTAATAATCAAATACTTAATAGCAAAGAAATGATCTATCAGGGTATCCGTACTGCAAACTGTGAATGAAAGGCTTCCCGTCCCCCGAGAACTCATAAGAAAGACATTGTCACGGGGTGGATTGAACTCACAGAGTCCAATACCACATCACAATAGAAACGGACAGAACATTCCTTGTATATTTAAACTGATCTGGTAAGAAATTCAGCAGCTGGCCGGTGTTATTATTGGACGTGTCCAGAATTCCTCCATGGTGAAGCCGAACAACTCTCAAAGAATACACGGGCTGTGCCTTGGCAGCCCCCCTCCTCCCAGAAGGCCCCCACACCTTCTGACCTGTGAGCTCGGAAGCTATCCTAAGGACTTCGTTCAGCCACACCCAGTAGTAGCTCCACTAAATCATGAGTTCTGCGTGTCTGTCTTAGACCTGCCAGCAACTAATAAGAGCAATGTATAAATATGTCAGCTTGCCATTTTTAATGTTCTGAAGTTGTTTTGTCGTGTGTTCGTAATTTAACTAAAGCAGGCAGTATCTCTCTTCTATATAAGCATTAGTTTAATATTAAAGGAAATCAAACAAATTTAAGCAAATACTCCCAACAAGCAAGCTAGATCTTATTTCTGCTATTTTTGCTGAAATACAGCTTTGGCATGGTTGGGTTTCATAAGCTTTTGCCCAAGAGGCTTCTTAGTACACATCCGTCTGTGTAGTCATCAGGGTTTGTAGTTCACTTAAAAAAAAAAAAAAACACTAAACACCCTTGGCTGGGATGTCAAATAGTCACAGTCTAAGGCACCGAAAAGTCAAGCACGTTAAGCAATTCCAAATGAAAGTAGATTGAGCTGCGAAGGCAGCTGACTCAAGGTTGGTTGGTAAAGCACCCCCTAAACTTGGGGTGCAAAAGCAGTGAATCTCACGGCCTGGGAAGACAGTGAAGGCATTCACATCTCCTGCAAAGGGCAATGGAAGAGCGCGGTACCGGCCTAAGTCATAGACCAAAGTCTGCTGTAGAACAAAAATGCTGGAGGGCAGAGGCGGCAGACTCCCCAACCAATGCTGTCAGTATTAACACGCGGTGGCCACAGGTGTGGAAGCCTTGCCTTACTTCCTGGTCCCAAAAGGGAGCTCTGCAGATGGGGACGAACATGTGTTGAAAATAAAGTATTACTACTTTAAAGTCAAAAGAAATATAGTGTTTACATTCTTTAGGTCCTGGGGGGGGGGAGTTGGGGGTGACTCTGCTATTACAAGAAAGCAAAAGCGGTCATTTCTTTAGTGTTATTTCTCTGGCTAGTAGTTATTTTTCACAGGACTTAATCACTGTATGTCGTGAGACACTAAAATCAAGAATGGGACTCTCATTTCGTCTTTAATTTGCCGAGATCAGCAGCACAATCACTTGTAGAAACTGTAAAAAAAAAAAAAAATAGAGTATCTCCCTGTTCTTAATTTTTTTTTCCACAAATGTTTTTGGCTTTGGAACAGTTTATTTATATTGTATATCATAGTTTCAACTGTAGAAAATTATGCTAATTTATTGTTCCTTGGGTTCCCCTTTGTATAAGATAGAGCCAAGACTGAAGAAACCAAATACGTGTTTACTATAGCATGTCTTCAAGTTAGTGGAACACAGTTCAGTGGTATAGAAGGGTCTTGATGATTAAAACCATCCACTTGATCACATGTCTGGAAATTCCCATCATCATTCTGTAGTTTATTTAATAGCCATTGTAAATCTCATGACTTGTAGCTTTTCCTTATTTTGAAGTCATTTTATCAAGACAGAGTCTTACCTGGTTTTCCTTTCCAAACATTGTAAGTTGTATACCAAAGATATTAGTTATTACTTCCGTGTGTACAAAGATTATTATTTTATTACACTTATTAATCACCTCTAATACCCATGAGGGATGCACATGAGCTGTGCTGGGCATTGACTCTCAGTGTTATCTTCATGGTTCAAAGAAGGATGGAATCATTTCATCAGAGCTCAGATCCAAAGCATGAAATCCAAGAGAAGCATGGCTGTGCCTCCCAACCAAAAACCAAGTTGGATAAAGGCACACGGCAAAGGAATGGTGATGTCAGTGGTTGAGGAGAGAGCTCTAGCCCATCTCTATGTGGGCAGAGGCTAGAAGGATGGTTATTTGGAGGGTTTGTAACATTGAAAAAAAAACCATGTGTCCTTATTTTAAATGCATTGTACTCCCCCACTGAACATTAAGCCTAAAGTTGTCAAACGCCGCTCTAGTAGCTTTTACCCTGAGAGTGGTTAAAAGGCCACAAGGGCCACGTCCATGCTGAGAGCAGAAGCAGTGAAGCAGGTGGTGCTGCCCAGCATCCATGGCCCTTTCAGAGCTGGCCAGTGGTCTGATGGCAGTTGGTAGCCGGTTTGTAAGGTAGCCAACTGCCTTATCAGTCTTACTGAAGATGGACTCACCTGGGAAGGTTTTCAGCTGAGCTGGGTTTCCCGTCGTTGGTCTCGGCAGACAAGTCTGTAATTTCTGAATCTTTGGATTAGGGCTCTCCCGCAGCTGCCTTGGACTTGAGTTCATACCGTGTTCAGAGTGTGAAGTCGGTTTCTTGTTGCCGTGTGCTTACTGTATCAGTGAAATACATATTGTCATGTCAGTTCTTGCCAGGAATTTCTCAATATGGATTTTGTTTTTAGTATTTCAATAAATATTGATATGCCCAACTGGTAACTTTTAAAAATCCTTTATGTGGTCCTTGTGTTGGATATGAAAGCGTCTAGTAGTCAATTTGTCCAAGAATGGAAGCCAAAGACTTTCACAAGAGTACTTTGTGTGTAAGGCTTCGGATGTCTGCAGATGGCACAGAACATTCAGTCCGTGCATCATAGTTCCAGCATGAAATGAGAGACTCTTGGCACAAAATCTCAGTCTAACCTTGTCTACCAAACAGTGTCCTAACAACTTTCCTAAGCGCCTTTACAATTCAGATCCTTAGAACAGCTTCATTTCAAAGCCCTTCGAACAAACCAATGCCTTGGCCAGCGGAGGACTAGAGCAAGGTGGTGTGTTTCATTTTGTAGTTAGCAGTGCTGGAATCCATGGCTCTGTTAAGGAAGTCAGGACTTTGGCAGAATCCTCCTGTCCAGTAGGAGCAGGCTGGATGGAGGTGATCAGACTCAAGGAGCACTCGGACAGCTTTTGCCGATGTCTCTCTTAGCAAAGATACTAAGGCGTCAAAAGGCAAAAGTAATAGAGAAAATCGGGTATCCTTATGCATCAACTCAGAACCGGGGCTAGAGGCATAGCTCCATGCTAAAGTACTTGTACAAATATGAGGGCCAAAGTTCAAGGCCCAGGACCCAGTAAAAGGTAGATGAGACTCCCTATCTGTAACCCCAGGTAGTGGGGTGGAGATAGGGTTCACAAGACAGGATAGCTAGCAAAACTGAAAGAAGCCCAAGGCGACCTCAGGCCTTCATATGCAAACACACAGGCATGCACATCACATATACATGTAAACAGACCACTACCCTCAGCTCAGAACCCTAAGAGCTTTTATTCCCTCGGTTTAAAAATAAAATGTCTAAAAAATGTTAAAGAAATAGGCCTCCTTCAGTACTACCCAGCTTTTGGAGATTCGAAGCCAACTCAAACAACTACAAAAGTTCATTTTGGAAATAAAACATGCACTATAAAGTACTACAGGAGTCACGAACCTCTTCATTATAAAACATCAAAGGTCAGCCTCCCTTTTCCACCATTCCCTCTGCATCCTCCACCCACTGAGGCCGGAAGGATGCCTTGGTCCTGCGCTAGGCATTCTGACTTTATAGGATGCGCAGAAAATTACCAGTCGGATGCATCCACATGTGAATACACATCATGGAACTGAGATTTTTAAGTAACTAAACTGCTCTACAAATCCCATCTTCCCTGTCAACCCCCTCCCAAGGAGGGGGGGGCAACTAAATGATTCTTGGCATGTCACAAAAAAATGCAAACATAGATTCATGTTTAATTGAACTGACTTACATCGTTTTTACATGTGTAGCCGGGTTATAACCCAGATCAGCTGAGGTGAGAACATCGGGTGTTTTAAATGTTTTTATTTTTTTTTCAAACAGGAGAGTTTCTCCAGAGTCTATTGGCAGCTGGCAGAGGTCATTCTGACAGAGCCAAGGGGGCCCGACTTCCATCCTTAGAATAACACACCCCAAGTTGCTAAGTCCACTGCAGCCCAGTGCACCCGAAGGGGTGGAAAATCCTCGTGCTGATGTGCATTTGGTTGTTCTGTTGGACATTCAAACTAACTTTGAGGGGGTTTGTACCTTTAACTAAGTTTGACATTCAGTTTGAAGCCATTTCTGATGTATATTTTTATGAGAACCATGTGGAGACTTTGTTCCCCAGAACCCGGGTCAGAAAGCGCCAACACTTAGTGATCTTGACATTTCCCTGGGATAACACAGAGCAATTTTCCTCACCGCTGAACAGGAAGTGTCTAGTTTAGTCACTCAGAATAAATACTCTCGGAGAGGTCTAACTGGTCCACGTAAGCATTTGTTTTCTGTTAAGTTGGGAATTAATAACGTGGTGAGTGGTGTCGGGCTATGCTTGTGGTTTTGTTTGAAGAAGCGTCTTCCATGTTAGTTGCTAAGAAAGGGAAGGTGCCAGAGTGGGCGTTAGGATCAGAACTAATTGCTGGGTTTGAAGCTTAACTATCAAGAACCCAGTAGGATGCAGAGAACTGGGCTCTACCTGTCCCCATCCTCAGATCTGAGACTGCATCAGGAGCTTTGGCCACTCCCAGCTTGAGCTCCCAGCTACACACAGTAAGTCATGTTTCAGGTTCTCACTAAGACCCTATTAGTTGAAAATAACCAAGGGTGCATTGCTAAACAAGGTATAGACAGCTACTTAGTTGTCTTAGCACGTCAACTTGAAAGACAAATCACTCGAGGATAAGCCAGTGCCATCCCCCCATCCTCTTTGGTCTGGGACATCCCTCTGAGGTTTAAGACCAGCTCAATTTGCTATGGCCAGGCTACAACTTCCCTGCACTTCTGCACCAGGGACTGAAGCCCTGCCAGGTTTCTCCCCCACAGTCCCTTTGCTCCTTCAGTGCCCTTGTTCCCACAAGGCCTCAAAATCTAAAACCCACCCACCCATTCCTTTCCCTGCTTCCCTCAGATCGATCCACATCTGGCCTCCCCGACAGCAGATCAGACCCTTGGCATTTCTGGCCTGAAATTATTTGGCAGATTCCCAGCTAGATGCCTGCTGTTTGTCCATCCAGTTCCAACCTCACTCCATACAGCAGCCAGCCCTATAGGTTCATTCCAATACAACCTTCCCCTACCACTCCCTGCCTCTGAGTCTAGCCTTTCCAGCCCCACCTAGCCCCAGCCCCAGCTTACGCAGGCTGCCCTTTCCTGCTTCTGTTCCCTGGTATGCTGTTCACCACGGCTGGTGAAATCCAACCAGACACAGACCCCTGCCCCCATCCGGTGCATCTTTGCTGAGACACACACCTCTGTGAAACAGGTCCTAGTCTCATGCTTGTTACCCTTATCAGACCCCTGCCCTCACTGAAAAAGTAAACCTTAAACAGGACCATCAGGGCAAGCGCAGTGACTTGATAGTGCCTCTGGCTAAGTGCAGACATTGATAGATCCATCCTATAATTTCCACACACAAAAAATGAAAGCTCCCTGACCCACAGACCACATTTATCCTTGGGCTAGTTTTCCAAAACTTAAAACTAACCAGCAATAACTAAC